GGTTTAATCTTGGAGGTGTTATATCTTTGGAGATCACCCTCTTGTTATATTTTTTTGTTTGTTTTTTAGCGTATGAAACCCAGGATTGATGAACCGATAGAGACAGCAAGAAGAATAAGGGTTTTGTTGGTTGGGGTACAATGGGGGTAGTAAGGAAACTATGTTAAGGAAAGAATGTTTGGAAAACGATTGTGGTAGCAATTGTACAATACTGCTTGATATGATTAACTATGGAATATATATGGATGATATATATATATTAACTCCCAATTAATAACAGGTTTTTTAATTTCAAAAAATACAATGAAGTAACTATATCATAATATAGTGAGTTATAGAAATGAACATGAATCATATATTATTAAATATATAGAGAGCACTGATGAAACACACAAAATTCCTCTGATTCTTTGAGACTTCCTCACCCTCCACTATCATGACTTAAGTCCTGCCTTTCAGTTCTGGATACACCAGAGTATGTATACTGTTACAGATAAGAGCTCACAACACAGAATCCAAGTCAGATAAGCCCCACAGGAAGAGAATTGGGAGTAGCAATACCAGGAGGGTAGAGAGAAGGTGGAGGGAGGAGAGGAAGAAGGGGGATCACAGTGATCAACACATAATCCCTGGTCCCACCCCAGGGGGAGTGAACAACAGAAACATGGGCGAAGGAAGACAGCAGTTGGTGTAAGACATGAAAACAATAATAATTTCTAATTTAACAAGGGTCACAAGGGTGGGAGGTGGGGAGGGAAGGAAAAAATAAGACCTGATACCAAGGGCTCAAATAGAAAGTAAATGTTGAGAAAATGATGATGGCAATATGCTTGAAACAATTGATGTATGGAATGTTATAAGAACTCCCAATAAAATGATTAACAAAACAATTGATGCATATGTGCCATTTGCCCACATGTTGAGTGAGCTACACCCCATAATAACTCCCCAGATGCCCATTGGTCAAGATGGCACCCTGGTCTTAGTATTTCCTGAACCTGTCCTTAGGGTACCTCACACTCAGAACAGCTTAATATTTTAGCATATGTTGATGAGATGAAATTTATAACAGTGTGGGAAGAAAAAGTGCCTCCATTAATGCATATTAAACCTTTGGTAACCAGTAAGACATGACAAAGAGAGGCTTGCTACTCCAGTAGAAAGTGTCAGCAACCCACGCGGCAGATCTGCCTTGTCCTGGAGGGTTGCTATGAGTCAGAATCAGCTCAATAGCAGTGAGTGGGTGAGTGAGTGGGTGAGCGAGTGAGGGATCCAGTAACGCCACTGTGACATACATGTGAAGGCGGAAGCAGTTTTCAACTCTTGACCACAGAGTGTTTGCCCATTGTTATCGAAGTCCAACCCTAGATCTCAACTACTGCTCCAACATGTTTCTCCAGGGTGGTTAGAGTATTGAAAGAGCAGACAGGGAGAGAACACCTGACGGCAAGTCCACCTCTTTTTACAATTAATATTTTATGTGATAATTTGGACAGCGTTGGCTTGCAGCAGAATTAACAGAAAACAAAAATTTTATGTATGACTTTTAACTTGTGGTTACACAGGCATCAATTAATGATGTAGGTATTGAATTCTATCACTAGTAAGAACTCCCATCAGTTGTGCTCACAGAAGCACAGCTGACCTAGATTAAGGCAAGCACCTGCTCTTATCATATTTGCAACTTCTCCACCTCCCCTTACACCTTTTCTGGTATTATTATGCACTAAAAGAAAAACACTTTCTTTTTATATATTTTTTAAAGAAAGACTTGATATTGTGAGATCAGAAACAGAAAAGTCTTCAAATCCATATCCCCCTGTAGGAGCTAAGGCCAAGTACTCTGTCTTAGAACATGCTCTCTGATTTCATAACCTGTCCACTGTTAATCAATTCAAACTGCTCTCACAGTGGTCTGTTATTAGGGAACACAATCCACATTGAGGAGTGGGAAGTCTAGGGGTTGTCCGTTCAGTGTTGTAACTCTTCCTTCTTAGAAGCATAATGATATGAAGTCATCTGAGTTCAGAGGTCATGAACACAGAGTCTAAATGGAATTTTGTACCTTCCTATGTAACGGAGTAGCAATGAATTGGGAATTCTTCAAAGAGGATATCTAAAAATGAGTGTCACTTTGGGGCTGGAGTGGAAAACCCCTATCACCAGGCAAAGCGTTCTTACCTTTGAGAGAAAAGATAAAGGTTCGTCTTTGTAGCCCAGCCTTGTGTAGACAAATACAGGTAGGGCGTAGTCATGGGATGTCATGGTAGAGATCCTCATGGATTCGTGCACCCGGAATTGTGAGAAGCGCCGGATGTTTTCACTGTCCCGAAGGGATTTCCTGACCGCAATAGATGGGTATAAAGCGGTGCTGCTGTTCCAGAGCCAAGAGAGCTCATTGTTTCTCAGAACCTCCTCTTCTGGGCATGACCCAGTGTAGTTTGGGACATTGACATTGTAGTTGTGGCAATCAGGGTATAAATAATAGCCCCAAAGACCCTTGGGTCGGCTCTGGAGCCCCAGTTGTATGGTTTCCTTCATGAACACTTTCGCACTTTCTTCAAAGGTGACTTTGGCTAAATGTTCAATATCAGCAGCAGATACATTCTCCTGTGTTTCAGAAATGAGCTTTCTTGACTTCTGTCTGTAGATGGCTTTTGTGTTCCAGTTCCGTGCCCACTGGGGTCTCCAGTATTCCCAGTCAATAACAGCAAGCCCATGGAAGTCTTTGGCAGGGATGTAGTAAATAATATCTTGGCCCGCTTTTTCCAGGTGTCTTTGCAAGCTGACATTCTGGGGGAGACCCCCGTTAATGGGAAACCCCTGTGCTGTGTACCATGGGTAGTATCCCAATCTATTGACATAAAATATAGTGACATTTTGCCCCCGGACCTTGGTCAGCGGGCTTCCAACTACCTGAAACATTTTCAAATTTAGACTTACATTGTATTTGGTCAAGCACCGATCTGTCGGGGCATTCCAAGCGGCTATGAAAGGTTTCCTTTGATACATTGGAAGCCTGGCTGGTTTCACAGAAGAGCATGACCTCAGAATGAGAAGTATAAGCAACCATGATGAGAGATGAACTGGCGGAACCGCACTTAGCCTTAACTGTCCTTCGGTGACCATGTTCACGATAAAATACAAATGGCACGTTATCTTCAGCTTGAATGCACTCTGCTTGAATGCCCTCTGGATGACCTGTGGAAATATTTAATTTTCTATTGGTGATAATGTTGAGGGAAAGAATTCAGCTATTTAAGATATACTATAATTATCAATATATTCATATATTTATAGAGTGCATTCTATTTGAAGAGGCTTATACATAAATTGAGGCATGGGAGGTGGCATAGTGACCCAGCTCCTACAGAGGGGCAATCAGTGCAATTCAACAGCCCTTCACAGAGCACTAGTTCATGTGCCCAGGAACACAAAGAGATTCACACCTGCCCTTGCCCTCAAAGGCTCTTGGTAATCAAGAGGTAAAATAACATTGACTGCCCTTTTGGAAAACTAAAAAAACTCCCAGGTACTGTGCTTAAATCTTTTATAAGTATTGATCCCATTTAATCTAGTGATAACTGTGTAACACTGTCATAATTACATCTCCATTTTGAAAATAAGGAACATGAGGCTCACCAAATGAAGAAGTTTATGTGACGTCATGTTGCCCAGAAGGCAAAGCACTGGGAAATGGTCATGAGCAAAATACAATGCAGGTGCGATCTGCCAAGTAATTAAAGCAATGCCTTCTTCTGGGAAGAGGGTGTGGGGCAGGAAGAGAATGCTGCAGGGAATCTGGGACACTTGGGTTGAGCCTAGAAGGCAGGTAGGAGCTCCAAACAACAGTTACCTTGTCCACTCATCTATTTATCAAACTATGGTGAAACATTTTATGAGTTCATTAGAGAGTTCAAGGGCATCAAGTGTGCATTCTCCTCTGTATCCTTGTCCTTGGGTGGTGCACACAGTTAACACACTCAGCTGCCAACCGAAAGTGTAGAGATTTCAGTTCACTTAACGCCTCTAGGAGAGAAGACCTGATGACACAGTTCCAAAAACCCAGCCACAGAAAATCCTCGGTGTCATGGTTCTAGTCAGACTTACATGGGACCACCATGCGTTTGGAATCAACTTGACCACAGCTGGACCTGGATTTTCAGGCAGTGTATTCTGGTTATGTCTATCTCCATGATGGTAGAGTCTACAGACATTTGCCTCTTGCTGAGCACCCAGTACACAGATCCCTGCCTCTGTAGTGAATTTTACATCATATGAGTCTTGGTGTTCAGAAGGGGCCATACTCCAGGGATGTTGTTTTGTGCACTCAAGTTGATTCAAATTGGCACAATCCAAATACCGGTGATTTAAACCCACTGGTGGCACTCATAAGAAAAGGCCTGATAAGCTGCTTCCATAAAGAATCCAGCCAAGGACGCTATGTGGCTGTTCTAATGTGTCACACACGAGGCTACCATGAGTCATCCTTTGTTATAGAAGTCAAGATGCCCAAGTGTTTCCTCAGCCTTGCTTGAAGCTAGGTTACATGCATGTGACTTGGGCCAGTTTGATGCATCCCACTCCACGCTTGAACGGGGCATATGGGAAGTACAGAGGCTGGTGCTGGAGTCAAAAGTCATAGTAGCAACGCCGTGGGGCATCCAGAACCCGGTGTCCCTGCTGCTAGTGTTAAGTGGCAGCAACACTTCTTTGCTCAAGTCAGTGAGCTTTTGTTTCAGTTGATTACAACCAGAAACCCTGCTTAAAACAGGCTCTTTCCATGGAATCTGTGGTTTGTGAATGTGTCCCAATGGTCTAAGTAATATGTAATTACTATTCTAAGCCACCAGGTGTCACCAGCCTAACTACATATCACTTCTCAAGTCCAGGACAACCAGCTCAATACATATTTCAAAGAATTTATAAAGTTTTATTCAAAAAATTTCAAGAAGTGCCGAAAAAATAATTTTAGAAATATTAGTACAAACCTAGTCCCAATTAAGTAGCAATGAAAGATAACCCAAATGTCAGTTTTGCAAAATGTCATACCATTCCATTATTCTTGACATCAACCACGACTCCTCCCTCTTAGTATATCTTCCCTCGTGTCCCAGGGGTCTGAAATTCACTGCCATCTATCACAGAACTCAGTAATCATTAAGGGCATGAGTTACATGGTTGTGGAAGAAGTAAATCCCAAATCCAAAATTCAGACATCTGTCCAGAGAGAGGGGTCTCCTCATCCGCAAGGTCCTAAAAGCTGGTGATTCAGCTCCCGTGATTGACTGAAACTCAAGTCACAGAAGCAGGGGTCAAGCAGAAGCAAGTCAGATGCAAGATCCAGAGCAAGAGAGAGAAACACCCGAGAGAGGTAGATGTCTTGCTTTCTTAGCCAGGCTATAAAGTACATGGGGTCTCACACCAAGATAACTACCAGAGTCCTGAGCTGACAGTCTTTTGGGATGGTGACTGCCATCTGACTGGTGTTCATCATCGGGGACTCAGCACTAACATTCTGTTCCTGATCACAAAGATGCCATTGATGGAGGCGTGGTTCTTGCCTTCTAGAGATGTTACCCCCAAAGAAACATACAGTGATGACTTGAATTGCATTTTCTATTTAAATAGGGACTCAAAATATAGCCCACCTTAATCTTGTGTGTTTAGCATAACAGATACTACTCTCCAGTAGGATTATCACCATAAGTGTAGACACTAAAATTGACAATATATCATCAAATGGAGGATTATGGATAGAAGGCCAGGGTCTTTGCAAGACCAACAACTTCCTCACTGCAAATACCTTATTTCAACAACATCAGTGGCAACTATACACGTCGACGTCATTAGATGGAATACGTATACCTGTGGGGAGAGACAATGGGGAAGCTCTACATCAGGAGCTGATATGTCAGGGCTGACTGTGGAACAGATCACGGGTTGATCATAGGCAAGACCAAGTTGAAGCTAAAGAAAATGAAAACCGGACTATGAGAGCTAAGATACAACCTTGAGTCTATCTCCCCTTGAATATCGAGAATATCTCAAGAATAGATTGACTCATTGAACACTAGAGGCCCAAGACCTAAGGAGCTGTGGGATGACCTCCAAAAGTATCAGACATGGAAAAAGCAAATGATCATGAAGAAGACAGCAAATAGAGAAAAGAAGAAAGTGGATGACAGAAGAGACCCTAAAACGTGCTCTTGAACATAAAATAGCTAAAGCAAATGGAAGGAATCATGGCATAAAAGTTGAATAGAAAATGTCCAATGTCAGCTAAGAAGATGAGGTAGAGAGTATTTTTTTAAATTCTTTTATTAGGAGCTCATACAACTCTTATCACAATCTCTGCATACATCAATTGTGTAAAGCACATTTGTACATTCATTGCCCTCATCATTCTAAAAACATTTGCTCTCCACTTAAGTTCCTGGCATCAGGTCCTAATTTTTTCCCCTCCCTCCCCGCTCCCCACTCCCTCATGAGCCCTTGATAATTTATAAATTATAATTTTGCCATATCTTGCCATGTCCGACGTCTCCCTTCACCCACTTTTCTGTTGTCCGTCTCCCAGGGAGGAGGTCACATGTAGATCCTTGTAATCGGTTCCCCCTTTCCAACCCACTCTCCCTCTATGCTCCCAGTATCACCACTCACACCACTGGTCCTGAAGAGGTAGAGAGTATTATAACGAATGTGAAAGACCTGGAGTTTGAAAGCCAAAAAGAAGACACATTCAGCAGATCCACAATCAACCCACATGGAAGCAACAGTCAGGAAATCAATGATATAGTACATTCAGCCAACACACATCCATTACTAATCAAAACATGGGCTGTGGGAGAATTTAATCTGTGAAACTTGGAAAATATCAGACATGGAATGAAATGCAAAAAGATCGTTATTATAGGCATTAGGTAGTTGAAATAAACTGGTTTAAAATGAGTTAAAATCAGACAACCATAGGGTCTATTGTGTTGGAAAAGGCAAAGAGAAGAGGAGGGACATCACATCTGTTATTGAAAAGAACATTTCAAGATCTATCCTGAATAACAATGCTGTTAACGATAAAAAATATCTATCCACCTTCAAGAAAGAACAGTTAATTTGGCTATTACTCAATTTTATGCATTGACAAGTAATGCCAAAGATAAAGAAATTGGAGTGCTTCACAAATTTCTGCATTGTGAAATTGATCAAACATACAACAAAGAAACATTGAATGTGGAAATTAATGAATAATATATCCTGTGCAATAACATTTTGCTGAAGACAATTTTAAAATGACTATAGCAGTCCATGGATGAGGAGCTGCCAGAAATTCTGTCGAAAATCAGAAGAGGACATAAAATAAGAACTATCATTACTTTTGTCAGAGGGCTCTTGACTAAAAGCAGAGGATTCCAGAAAGATGCGTAGTGGGTTTTATTAACTATGCAATGGGATTCTACTTGTTACATTATAACAAATTGTAGCTAACCTTGAGACTAGGGAGAGTTCCAGAACCCTTCATGGTATTCATGTGGGCCAAACTCGTACAGAGACCAAGAAAGTGGAGGCCCTTTTAACAGAACAAAGAAGTGTGGAATGATTTAAAACCAAGAAAATTTTGTATCAGAACTGTGTCCTTTCACCATAGGAAGGCAATCTATTTGTTAAGCAATTACTCTGAGAAGCTGAACCGGATAAAGAAGAACATGGCATGAAGATTGGAGGAAGGCATATTGACAGCCTATGATGTGCAGTTGAGACCCTCTTGTTCTCTGAAAGAAGAGACCTTGAAACTCTGATGAAGATCAAAGACAACAGTGTTCAGTATGGATTGCACCTCGGTGAAAAGAAAACAAAAAGCCTCACAACCGGAATCATCGTCATCATCATACCTGAAGAAAACATGAAGCTGTTAGCATAACTTTTACTTAGTCAATATCCATAGAAGCAGTAATCTGGAAATCAAACAACATAATCTTTTGGGCAAATTTGCCACAAAAGACTTCTTTAAAGTATTGAAGCGCAAGGATATCAATTTATAGGGCCTTAATTTGTAGGGAGTTAATGATCCCAAATGAGCAATGGTGCTAAGCAGTCATTCCCAGTGAGTCCTTGAACCCCTTGGAAATAAGCCCTCCCCCCACAGCTAGCCAGGGGGCCACAGCACAGCACAGCTGGAGGTTAACCCTCCCTCTTCTCTGGGTTCCAGGAATCCTAGCATCATGGCATTAATGGTTTCAGCAGGATTTCCCTATAAACGAGAGTCCCAGAAGAGAGTCCTAGTGAAAACATTCCTGTTCATCCATCCATCAGGATGGAAGGAGCAGTACTGTTTGTCCTGGTTCATAAATCCTGGAATATAATAAAATAATCTCTCCCTCAAAAGGAAAAAAAGGAAGAAAGAAAAGAAAAAAGAAATGCAGTTTGATAAACAATAGCATTTATGTAAGAACACATACTTAGCCTTTATTGTAAAGTATTATTACTTCTCCTTCAGGACTTGAAATGCCTTGCAATTAAGATCAACAGCTTTTTTGAAAAATCACGACCAAGAACCATGTTTTGAATAAAATGTTCTGTCAACCTGCATGTTAACAAAACCTCTTAAAATAGCATTTCTACTGTTCTTAGGTGGGGGGAGTTCATTCCGACTCATAGAGCCCCCATGTATC